GTTCAGCCTGCTTCTGCCGAACTTATGGCACAACGCGCCTACCTCACGGCTGTGATCTTTAATCGTAACTGGGTTGTGCCATAGCGTGGAGAGTTTCCACAGTCGTGCCAAGGTAAGTGTACCCAGATTGGCACATCCAATGGCTGGCAAACCAATGGCTGGCAAACAACACCTATAGGAAAATGGCTCACGCACAAATTGTCATGGTGGGATTGGTCGCAGTCGAGCCGCCAACGAGATGTAATGCGCCTCGACGACGCAATTTACCATCTCCAGCAAGACATTGAGGAGATCACGGTAAAAATTCAAACAGAACAGGCCAAGGGGACGACCTCTCGATGGGATTCCTACATCAGCTCGTGCATTCGAAAGGGCCTATGTCTATGGCAATGGCAGTATTCGGTTGCTTGAAGAAGACTCCTTTGAGGTCCAATCTGCCAGTGATCCACATGCCGATCCTTACATAGTCCAAGCTTCGCCTCACGGAATCAAGTCCTGTACGTGCCCTTCATTTGCATGGCATCAACATTGTGGCAAGCAGACTGCCCGAACATGCAAGCACATTGAAGGTGTGCTGTGCAAAGTTTTTCAGAGTCCGACGAGAATTGGGGCAGCCGTGGCTGTGCGAGCCAAACCAAGGCCGCTCGCGGACCTCGGATCGAGGCGGCCCAAGATCTCGCTTACAGCAACACGCACGTTGCTGGTGGATCTCTTGGCCATGTTTGATGCTATGGTTGACTTTGCCGAACAGCAGGGCCAAGTGCCCGCAGCCACAGACGCCTTTGGACGCATGCACTACATTCTTAAGCGCGAAAAGGACCTTTTGAGGCGTGAGTGATTTGTGCACTTGTTCCGTCCGGCTTCGCGTATCCGAACAACAAAGCTTTTCATGCGTCCGTTTTCTTGAATCGTGCCGAGTCTTTTGAACTTGCCTGGTGCACCATGCGTATGACACGAACTGGTAATCACGCACTTCAAATTGCAAATGGCATTTTGTAGATGGCTATTACAATTTGAGCAAGGTTGTCAATAGCTCGCGCCAGCCCTCAGTGGCCTTCAAACATACCCACCACGATACGGCTGTCCAGAGTGATGTGATTACTGAGAGCATGAGGCAAACAGATGGCACCTTGAACCCGGCGACAACATCCGCAGCTTGCATGGAGTCAACATCGCCCACCAGCCCTGCTACGCTTTGCAGCCCCCAGGGCTCGACACTATACACCCCTGCTGATAGATCGAGCTCTCTTAGCGCTCAAGAGCCAATACTCGTGCCCTCGCCAGCAGTGGCCAGTGATTGTATAGGGTTTCAAAATCCCACAGCCTCACGAAATAAACCCTCATCTGCACGCCAAAGCGTCGTCTTGCTCTCCAATGGCATCGACTGGCAATTTTCACCACTATTGCACGCCAACGAAAGTGAAGCCATGTGAGTGCACTCACCCTAAGACCTTGTGGTTTGCTGGTCATCTTCTGTTGAACCGCACTGGTGATGCCTAATTATTTTTGCGTTGTAGCCTCTCTAACCCAATTCGCCAGCTGACTGATACTCTTGTCAACTTTGAACTCGAGTTCTACTTCAAGGCCTTGCTCCCCCGGACAGCTTGTACTGACCAAATCGCGCTCCTGAACAGTGATGCCTCTGAAGCCTTCAAGAGAGTAAGTTAAAAACCAAACAAACGTTCAAGGAGCGATGCGCTTCGACCACTTACGGCAGAGCAGTTGTTTGCGCAACCCGGTGTTCTGCTGTGCGTGCGCTCAGTGTGGCCGATGGTCCTTGCGTTGGAGACTTGGGTCGTTGGAGCGATTGCGACTCAATATGCGTTGAAAAAATAGTGCAACACACGCGCAAAGCTGTCAAGGCTGATGGAAAAAAACGTTTCGATTGACAAGCAGTGTCTGTTGTTTCCCATGTGTCACGAAGGGTGGGTTTGCTTTGATTGGATGCGCCTCTACACCTGCCCCAATCATTTGGATTCGCCTTGGCTGTTTGAACTTAGTCATTGGACACTTTGTCTTATCAATCTGCCACGAGCCATCACACGAGACTCAACCCCATCCTTGCCTAAGGCAACCATGCAGCCCGGCGCCCACGCCACCTTGTACGTCTAGCACATCGGCGACCTCGCCATGCTTGCAGGTCTTTCAGACTGCATGGCCCTCACTTTCTCTGCATGGGTTTGGATCTGATGTGTAACTCATAACGTGTGCTTTGAATATCAAGCCTCTCATGATCATTCGACGCTCCGTCTCATTTCACATAGCTCTCCGCCCAAGTACATGGAAGGGAACGTGGTTGAGCTCGAGTATGATGGTGCAATGCTGATGGGCTTATCAGACGTGGTGATGTGATTATTCATTTGCTTGATTCATCTTTCTTTGCTTGAAATAGTCTTCGGCAGCCAGTCATTTACTTATTCAACTCTTTCGAATCCTTAACAGCTAGCGCTGCTACCGCTGCCGAAGTCATCTGCAGGTGCGCATGCATGGGTGTGCTCAAGGGTGAAGTAGCTTGTGCTGAACGTCATGCTTACGGGTCGGTCTCATTTATTTTTGTCCACGTGTCCAGTCAAATTCGCGAAATTTGTCGCGCCCTCAATGTCAGGGATGAGCTGAAAAGCGCCGCTGCGCGTCTTCGAGTCTGGCCCGTCACGCCTCTTCCACAGCAGCCAAACAGCACAGATTGCGGCATGTATACCATCTTCTTTGCCCAGCAGCTTTTGCACGCATTGACAGTGAACAGAGCTCGATCTACGTCCTGTCAGGTCGACTTTGGCATTAGTGCCTTGCCTTCGCGGCATGAGCTGATATCGTACGTGCCGGTGTGAAGCACGTTTTGTTCATTTCGAAGCTAATTTGATGGTCTGCTCAAAGACTCATGTATTTTTTTTTTTGCACAACGGCAGTCGGTTGTACATGGCACAAAGTGCAACTGTGACTGGGCAGGATGCGTTTGCTAGCCGTAAGCACCTTGCTGAGAATTCGAAGTAATGTATTTGGAATGCAGGCACAGGTGCGAGCTCTCACAGATATGAACGTGTGTTGTGAATGACTCTAGCTCGAAGCCAGGCCTCGAGCGGAACACCACCCAATGCAAAGCGCGCCCTGCAGCGTCCTCCCAGCAGAGGCACCCGCACCCTTCGAGCAAAGCGCTGTCGTCAACGTCAAGCCTCAGCTGAGGAGCGGAGAAATGATCCCCAAGGTGATGCGACACAGTCAAGTGCAGCTGTGGCAAGGACGGCTGCTGCGCTTAAAGCTGCACGACAAGATTATCGAAAAGAAGTGGCATTTCGAGCGAATACATTGGCGCACGTTCGACGCAAAGTGGGTTCGAATCATAAATCGTGCCATCGTTGCTACTTGAATTAGAATCACCATCGGTTGATGCTTGAATAAACTCACTTTGCCATGCTTCTACACCTCTTCTGGTGCAGCTTACCCCGCCCGCAGGCAATTCGACATTAGAAACGCCCAATCTCACGCCACACACCCATCAAGATCATCACCAGCCCGTGACACCTCGTGTCACACGCGGGCAGGCAAAGCGAGCAAAGCTTGCGGAGCAAAAGAGGAGAGGCTCGAGCCGCAGTCAATGCGGGCCAAAGTGATGGTGTACTCAGGCACCACCAACGGCCCTTGTGGATGTTCAAAGCTATTTCCCTGCGATGGTGCCTCGAAGGGGCGCACATAGAGAACACTGGCTGCCATATTGGCTGGAATGTAGCTCGAGAATGGATGTACTTGCGCTTGAGCAGCCGTGGGCGAAGTACAGGGGTTTACCGACTCAATAATGTTGTGCTCTGGTATCGTACATTGGTCTTTCTTGGGACTGCGAAATACTGGCAGGATTGTCCTGGCCTAACTTATGCTAGCAATGCCGGTGAATTGAGCAGAGATGATGAATTTGTTCTCACATGTCAATTGGCCACTGGGATTTCAGGGCGTTACGGCTCCAACCACAGCCATTGTCTTCAAGGCTGTACCAGAGCTCGGCCCGGTTCCGCTCATTGTCCACAGTGGGCTCGTCGAAGTCGAAGTCGATGAGTGGTATCAGCCTTGCGTCAAGCTAAACATCGACATAATGCCACAGTCAGTTCAAAGTGTTGTGTGGCCCCTTCGGCTCGAGCACACACGGTGCATCTACGCACGCAAAACATCAAGGATGAATCGGGTAAGAAATAGCATCTTCAAAGGCAGCTGTTTTTGGAAGCGGAGCGAAACACATACCGGATTAGGTTGGACCCTGAGAAGGCTCGGCATGCCGTTCAGAATTCAGCCAGCCAGACGCAATCACGAGGCCCAATGAGCTCCATGCCGATGGGTCTGAGAATGAGAGCACCAGTGTCGGCGCTATCTACTAACGCAGGACGAGATCAACCTCGCAATGCACGCGGTCAAACTTGGACATGGCGTGTGGCGCAGGTCCCGGCCAGAATTACGGTGTTTATAGCTCTTGATTGACTGACTGGCAGCCGACTGCTCAATACAGCTTTGAGCCAAAAATCCACAGCTGTCATGTCGAGTCTCCTTGATTGGCACAGACAAGGCGCATCAGCACGCCAGTAGTTCTGACAGTCTCGCCATGGCAAGAGGGCCTTTGAGTTGGCGTGCTCTGTAACACTCTGAATGGCTGTGCCATACATAGCTCATCGCAAGCACAATGCCATGTCCTTCTTGAGGCACCATGGCTGGGTAGATCGTGCTAGAAGGGAGGTCGCATGCATTTTCGTGACTTCAAGTGTGTCGAGTGTTCTGAGATACCCCGCCAACAGGTTCCGAGCCCGCGCAAGGAGTTAAGTGTAAGTTGTTGACATGTGAGTTGTTGTCATTTTGAACGTTACGCTGGCCCTCATCAACTGCTCAGAATCAAAACATTTGTACAAAACAGCCGTTCTGGACAACTGTGTGTATCGCGATGATTTGTCGGAAGAGAAGTCACAACCTTTTCAGAGATATGCCACGCTCCTTTAATATATTTTTTTTACGTTGACTTGGTTCGTTTACTGTGACTGCGGCGCTGGGCTGTGACCGGGGGTATCATGGGTGGCGGCAACCGTCGGGGTGATGGGGCAGCGCATGATGAGATAATCGGCGTCGTCGGGAGAAGAGGGCGCAATGGCGAGGCCACATCGCTCGAAAAAACCTCGGCTGGGATTGGCTACAGCCATGTAGTCAGGCAGAGTGTGAGGGGGCTTGGTGGGGGGGGGGTCAACAACTGGCGAGCAACGACCCCTCCTCACCTTGAAACGTGGTGAGCATAAGAAATCGTACGCCTGGCGTCGCGCGTGCCACAGACATCATGTGCTACAACCAAGGGTCGGCGGTCAGAGTGTGTGTGGCTTGAACAGAGTTGATCCGGGAGGGATGACTTACCTGCAAAAGACGTCGACCAAGGCCGAGGCCGCGCGCCGTGGCAGCTACTTGGAGCTCGTAGCAGTACAGCACCTGCCATAGCACAAGGGCCCAGTGACATGGGTGCACGATTTTGATGGAGCAAAAGGGCCCACGTCTGACCTGATCACCGTCCTCGTCGTCAATCAGATAGGTGCAGAAGCCCGCCAGCTGGCCTGGGGCAGTGCTGTCCATGACGCGGGCGATGCACATGCCAGGAAGGACCAGTTCTTCTCGCTTGCGGGTCGGAGACCAGCCCCAGGTGCTGGCCCGATACAGGGCTGACATGTTTTTGTCCAACAGCTGCATGATCGCGTGCAGCTCGCGACGGCCCAGGTCGGCTGTCTTGCCAACCCGAAGCTCAGCCTCTTCGACGGTGGCCCCGGCCTCGGTCGACACAGACTGGCCCCTTGTGGCGCAAGACCGCGCTCGCTTACTCGGCGGGCCACCCTCGCGCCGCCGACTCATGTTGAACACGGTGGACTTGACACGGTGCACCACGAGTTTGCTACACCCAAACGGTCATCTTGGCCATCTTGGGCCGGCAAGCGCCCCCTGAACCACGAGGATGAGGGTGATGAGGGTGATGAGGGCGCTCTCTCGTCTGAAATGAATGCCACTCGTATCGTGGATTCTTTTGAAACGCCTTGAAAACACCACAAGGTTATGTCACCCCCAACCGCTCCTCTCTCCGTACGTCTCTCTCTCTCTCTCTCTCTCTCTCTCTCTCTCTCTCTCAAACTCTCTCTCTCTCTCAAACTCTCAAACTCTCAAACTCTCACTCTCTCTCAAACTCTCAAACTCTCTCTCTGCCTCAAACTCTCTCTCAAACTCTCTCTCAAACTGTCCCTCTCCCTCTCCCTTTCTCTCTCTCTCACACACTCTCTCTGTGTATTTTTTTTTTTCTTCTCCATTTCAAGACCGCGAGCATGGAGGTGGCCGACCAGATTCACCGGGTCGTGGACAAGCTCAAGGCCATTGCCGATACGGTATGTTGCATTTGCTAAACTACTTGCCCGTACATGCTTGAGCAGATGTCCGTCCCTCAAGCTCTCAGTTGCTCGTGGCGGTCCGTCCTCTGCTTTTTTTTTTTTTTCCTGGGTAGGACCCTCGCGCCAAAGCGGCGCTGAACCAGCTCTTCGAGTCGAGCCGCGACTTTAGCGTGCGTCCCCGCGTTATCAGCGTTCATGCTTGAAACCAAGCGGCTACCGGCCCAACACTTGTGCTCATACAATGTGTTTGCTTGACCCATGTTTCTTCCCCTCTCCCCCGATGTGGTTCTGACGCAGGCCCTGACCGACCCGAGCCCGGTCGTGCGTGGAGGTGTGTTCGCGTTGCAACATCTTCCCATGGCTGGCCCTGCAGCTTGTCCAAACCCCAACTGCGCCAGGCTGGCTCCTCACGTTGCATTTTGTGGCTCGGTTGTGCCCGATCAGGTCTCAATTCGCCCTCAACTTCCGGCTCACAGACAAACGCACAAGCACCCACGCCCTGGTCGCCCGAAGCCCAAGACATGTTTGCCACGCTGCGGGATATCACCTGGCGCGTGGATGCTCTCATCGAGCTCCATTGCACTGCTGCCATGGATGGAGATGATGGTCTCAAGGCAAGCCTTGATACGATGACAATTGCCTCGCTGACCCGGTGGCATATTTGCCAGAAGAGTCGCCGCCGTTTCAGCTCATCAAGCTGTGCCCCTTGCATGTACCGTATACAGGCCAAGTGTGATGACGAATGGGAGGTGCTTCTTCAGTCCCTGGAGGATGTCCGGGGTGGCTTGGCTGAGGCACGCATTGCACATTGGGCCCATCAATTCCAGCTCGCTCATCATTTGTCCTTTCTTTCTTGGCCATGCAATTTTTGCTCACCGTGCCACTTTGTGCAATCCTCTTAGCTCAAGGCCCTGGGCGAGCGCTCAGCATGCCTTGAGGTAGGCTAGCCTGCTCTTAACCTGCCTCTGTAGCCCGCGGCACTCGAGACTGACCGGACCCTCACCTCACTCGCCGGCACACATATAGCATTGGGATAAGGTTAAGCGCAAGGCAGACACCATGGCAGCAGCCCAGGCCATTACCGAGCAGACCTTGGACGCACGGCGTATGCTAGACAGTATTTTTGACTATTTTCATCAGCTGGAAGAGGAGGAAGACATCCAGCTCTTTGATCAGCCGTCCACCGCACCCACCGAGGTCTCCGCTACACCCACAGAAAGCGACGCGGCCACCGCAAGCTCAGACCCGACAAAGCTGTAGTGCACCACTGCCCCCTGCTGTCCCGCGTTTTGCTTCGCCTCAGCCCATTTCGACGTGTAACCTTTCCATGGTCTTTCGAGGGCACGCCCTTTTCCTCTTTTTTATTAATGTTCTTTCAATCTCGCCTTGTTGCTTCGTCAATCGTTCGTTTGGTCGCCGTGCGGCTCTGGGACCCAAGGTCCGCTTATGCTTTTTATGGCTTGTCTCGTGATGTGTCAGACTCAGTCAATGTCTTCGATAAGATGCACACGATGGAGATGTTCCTTTTTATCACCTCTGATTTTAAAAATCCATCAACAATGCTCTGACCAATCCTGCTATCACCGGTGCCTCCTATCATGATTGCGATCATCGCGATCGTCGCGCCGACGATACACGTCCCGCCTACGATCATCATTGCGATCATCTCGCCGACGGTAGAGATCGCGTCGGCGGTCACCATCACGGTCGTCGCGCCGGCGGTCACCATCACGGTCGTCGCGCCGGTGGTCGCCATCACGATCGTCGCGCCGGCGGTCGCCATCACGGTCGTCGCGCCGGGAATAAACATTTCGTCGACGGTCACCATGGCGGTCGTCGTAGTCCTCGCGTGGTCGACTCCGGTCATCACGATCCTCACGCCGACGATAGACATCCCGCCGATTGTCGGCATGGCGGCGTTCGCTGTCCCCCTCAAGGTTACTCTGCTGGCGCTGCGCATCGGCGTCTGCTGCGGCAGCGGGATGATCGGGACTGCGATGCCCATGGCCACCTGAATGCTCTATTGTAGCAGTGACCTCAGAGCTTGTGATTGCGGAGCGAGGGCCACTATCGTCGCGTGGCTCCCCGCTTGCCTCAACTTTGTCGTCCTCATCCTTCTCTCCTTCGTGTCTGTCCGCGTCGCGGTCGCTGTGATGTCGTTTGTGTTTTTTGTGCTTCTTGTGCTTCTTTTTGTCTTTTTTTCGGTGCGTCGAATCACCTTCTACGAGCATTGACCCACACCATAGTGATGAGAAGCCATGGTCGATCAACCCTGCAAGAACACGCCAACCCGCCCAGCACCTCAACCAATATCGGGCCCACCAGGCCCACTAACGACGATCCTACCTGGCTCGGCAATGAGTTCGTAACCGTCATTAGAAGGTTGGTCCTCATCATCAGGGGTCTCGCCCATAAGAGCTGACAAGAGTTTGCCCTTGGCATCGACCAAACCACTCTCATCTTCTTCAGTGACGTTGAGGCCGCGCTCCTTGCGCCGTTGCAGACGCATCTCAGGTGCCTCGTACTCGCCGCAGTGGTCCACCCGAATCGTGCGCCCAGCAAGCTATTGGTTGAGAGAGATGGGTACGCCATTGGGTGTCAAGCTCACACCACACCACACCACACCACACCACACCACACGGCAGCGCCAAGGCACAAGTAGAGGTGGAGCCTTTCAAACCTTGACACCATTGAAGTTGTCCACTGCTAAGATGGTACTGCGCTGGTCTTCATAGGCCAAGAAGCAAAACCCCTTTGATTTGCCCGAGTCCTGCACAACCGACCCATCTGGTGAGCTTGACCGGCCCAACAGGAACTGGCAGCCTCAGCGTCGACCCTGTTCCAAAGCAACACTTTTGTGGTCGCACAAACCTTGTCGCGGACAAGGTTAATGTCGGTGGGCTCGCCGTACTGGGAGAAGACGCTCAAGACATCCCCCTCGGTGAAGCGATAATCCAACCCGCCTACATCGTCCAGCGAAAGAAACAGGCACGGCCCAATCAGGCTTCCACGACCCATCGCAAGCTTGGACAGGGCCCACGACCACGCACCAATATAAATGTAGGCACTATCGGCGTACACGTCGTGCCAAGACTTGCCAGCACCGCCTTGGCTCAGCTCTCGCTCGTTGAGCTTTTGAATCTCGCGAACGACACTACCCCACACACATGCCATGAATAACGACGCAAACCCCTCGATAGAGATCCAGTACAGCCCCATGCCCTCCCCGCTCAACGCCCACACCCCACAGACTGGCAGGCGCCCTCGCTGCCCAACGAGCAGCAGTCCACCGACTTCATGACGCTCGTGTCGATCGACGACGACCGGCGGGGGAGCCAGAGCACAACAGTAAAATACAACAGTTCTCATCGACTATTTTCACCCAACTCAACCTGGCATCGGTTACTGGATCGTTGTGAAGCAACAGCTGTTGTTCGGGTTATTTCAAAAATCACCCGAAACGATGGTTCGTCTCCTCTCTCTCTCTCTCTCTCTCTCTGGCGGCGGCGGCGGTAAAAGGGCAGCGTCACTGGATGCACTGGGCAGGGCTACTGGCATGACCTGTCACCGGTTGGCTTGTGGTTTTTGAGGAACTTGTTTGTTGGTGTCAGGTTGTCAACTGGCGTTTGTTCTTTTGTGGTTGTGCTGGTGCTGTTTGAACGCTTGTTCGTGAGGCACTGGCTCGCGGGCTCGCTGGCTGCTCATGCCATGCTCCGCTTCGATGCGCGCTCACTCTTGATCGGGTGCTGGGTGTGGGTATGGCTGTGGATGTGGACTGTGCTGCTGTAGTTGCTGTTTCTGGCCTGCAAGCGCGACAAGCAAACCGTTTTCCTGGAGCCCAGCGAGACGGACAAGATCCAGCGCTCCATCGATGTGATTGCAGACCTGCTTCAGAAGGACAGTGACCACGTCTCACTCGTGTACCAAGGTCAACGCCTCGATGCCGACCACGTAAGCCCTGTACACGGTTGCTGTTGCCCCATGCCAAATGCACGAGTGTCTGTTTTGGTTTTGCGCCGTTGCCTGCTCTTTTCTTTTTTTCTTTTTTTCTTTTTTCCTTGGAGATCAGTGGCTTTGCTACTTGGCGTCGCTGTTGCCAGTCGTCTCGGCACTCTATTTCCTGACAACAACAAATGGTTCGTGTGGTAGACTTTTAAGCACTATCAGATCTCGGCGCGGGAGAACATTGTCGAGCCCGTTTTGATCCACATTGTCTTTCGCAAAGACGACGGTAGGATACGATCAACCTCAGCATTGTCGTGCCTCGGTCTGAGTTGGTCTGACCGCTGTTGTTTTGTTGGGGCTTGGCTGTAGGTGAATGGGAGGAGCCCTTTGTGGCACCCACGCTGGCCGAGGCCCAAGCTGATGCCCAAGATGAGGCCGGGGAGGCCGCAGAGTAGAGGTCGCCTGCTTTGACTTTGTGAAAAAAGCTGTGCTGAGCAACTTGCTCGGAGGCTGGTCGAGTGGTTGGGCAAACTCGCGTGCAGTGCATGCCAGTCGCCCCCACAAGGACCTTTTCCCGTCGTCGTCGTCGTCGTTATTGCTGTTGTTGTTGTTTTCCCTTTTCTTCCTACAGAACGCTGCGGTTGGCTCGGGAACTCTGGCCAAACTCATCGTCACCTTCACCGTCACATCACGAGGGGACTGGAACGCGGTTACTGTTTCTCGTGTCTGTGTTACCGCGCCTGGTCAATGTCTGTTCCTGCAGTCGCCCTGGCGGCCTTTTCTTAAATTCCCGTTCCCTGTCGGTGCCGCCCATGAACCGAGCATCAAAGGCCGCTTACCCCTTTCGAGACAAACTGGAGCATGCAAGCCAGACCTCGCGCAGGCACAGACAGATACACATCAATCCTCTGTCTTTGTGAGACAACAACCAGAGACTGACTGACTGACTGAGACCTTGGGACGGGCACATTAACATCCAGAGCTTGAGAGACAGAATAAAGGAGTGCATGCATCACACACACACACACACACACACACACACTTACTCTCTGTCTCTCTCTCTCTCTCTGTCTCTGTCTCTCTCTCTCTCTCTCTCTCTGTCTCTCTCTCTCTCTCTGTCTCTGTCTCTCTCTCTCTCTCTCTCTCTCTCTCTCTCTCTCTCTCTCTCTCTCCTCTCTCTCTCTCTCCTCTCTCTCTCTCTCTCTCTCTCTCTCTCTCTC